CGTCACAGTGAGGGACGGAGACGCCTCGCCAGCTCCGCGCCGATCGTCGGGGCCACTCGAAGGGTGTCCCCCATCGGAGTCGGAGGAGGAGCTGTCCTCTGGCTCGAGAAGTGCTTGCGCCCGCAAGGGCGTCATGCGCCTCGCACCAGACAAGAGCGCAAGTTCCAGCGTCAGCTGCATGGTGAGGCGCTGATAGGTGGCGGCGCGTTTGCGAGCCAAGACCTCAGCAGCAGGTCCGTCATCAGGCACGAAGTGCCGATGCTTACGGATTTACTGGCAGAAGGCCAAATAGTCCGATTTACTGGAAGGTAAAAAGTGCCTCGCTTGAGGCACTTTGTACCTTCTGCCAGTAAATCCATTATCTTGCCTCAAGCAAAACAAAGCAGGAACAACCTAAACCTCCTGGCACACAGCGCACAGCGAGAAGCTGCACAAACACACACAAAACACAAGCCAGCACTGCTGGCACCCAGACGCGGCAGCGCCAGCCCAAGCGCGAAGCCGCGCAGACAAGCAGCCTAAGGGTCAAGCAATCAAGCAACAAGCAGCAGGAGCATGCAGGAGGAATAAAATCCCTTAGACGCGATACCCGGAGGCAGCCGACTGACCGTGCACTGTCAGTCCGACGGTCCAGACGTCCGCTGCCGCAACAAAGCGGGCGGCCGCGGACCGGGAGAAAGGGCAGCCGCCGACAAGGAGCCGGCGTTGCCCGGGGGTCCGCCTGGGGCAGCGGACGGAGGGAGGCTGGACACAGGAACACGGTACCGCTCGAGGTAGTCCTCCTCGCTAGCCTCCGAGTCAGCGGTAGCCGAAACCAACACCGCCCGTGACAGAGGGAGGCTGGGCAGTTACTGTTGAAAATTCATGCAACTTTCTATCAAGCCTTACACATTCGGATGACTCTTCTCTTCAATCAGGCTCTCTCTCTAGCCGCAAGTTGTTTAGGCCTCTCATCTCAGCCTCAATTTGTTTGATTGATCTTCGAATAGGAAAAACAAGCCTTTCCCCAGCCAGATTGGTCGGTCGAATATCTGCTTAACCGTGTGGAAACGCACTTGAAGCTGATTCGATTCTTATTTTCTTGATCTTTGAGTAGGATCAAATGGAACTCCCAGGAGATCTGGCGGAAGTTTCATGTCATGGAGCTAGGCTGTGGCATGCATAACTGGAGCTACTTCTGGATCGGCGAACAAGGTACTACTGCACAACAATCTTCAAATGCCTTGAAACGGATGTTCCAATCTTGCGGCAGCAATCTCTGGTCACAAGTTCTTTACGGTTCAAAAATTTATCTTTTGGTCTTCAAATGCCGGCGGGCACGCTCTCTCTATCTCTCTTATCTTCTCTCTCTTCAGACTCTCTTATCCTATCCTCCATCTCTCGTCATTGCATCCGCTCGCCAGGCATCTCCCCTTATCTCTGTACCGCACATCTAACAGCCCTGCATGAAAATCTTCTTCAGAATGGACAATCCTCGAATGGTTATTGCCCACTCAGCATGACTGTGAACTTGACGTTGTATCATCGTATCTTGACTTGGATCTGCTGACATTCTCTTGTTTGTGTGACTTTCTGACGTCCGATGTAACGTACTATTTCAGAAACTCGGGGGGAGGATGGAACGTATGCCAGCCGTGCCAGTCAGATAGCGCCGAGTTAACAAAAACTCTCCTGTAAACCAAGACGACTTGCGTGGCAGGCGGCAATGTAGTACATGTGACGAAGAGGAGGCCTTCCTAGCCGTCTTGCTAAGGTCCCCTCATGTCTGGATGCTTGGGTTTCACATCCTAGCATACAGTCTATCTCTCATGTGCTCCTCAATTCTGGTTTCGTGTGCATTAAACTCGGTCTTGAGCAAAAACTGTCTTGTTGAGATTAAGGTCGATGTGATATCTGCGTGACTTTGGACTAGTACAAGTCTAACAAACTTGTATAAACTTGTATTCCGTTAGACTTGTACTAGTCCAAAGTCACGCAGATATCACATCGACCTTAATCTCAACAAGACAGTTTTTGCTCAAGACCGAGTTTAATGCACACGAAACCAGAATTGAGGAGCACATGAGAGATAGACTGTATGCTAGGATGTGAAACCCAAGCATCCAGACATGAGGGGACCTTAGCAAGACGGCTAGGAAGGCCTCCTCTTCGTCACATGTACTACATTGCCGCCTGCCACGCAAGTCGTCTTGGTTTACAGGAGAGTTTTTGTTAACTCGGCGCTATCTGACTGGCACGGCTGGCATACGTTCCATCAGTGTAGGGTCTGGTTGCCAGCAGTGCTGGTTACTTTCGGTCTTGTGTTTCGTGTGTTTGCGCCGCGCAGAAGGTACTAGTACTTGAAGTGCCTCAAGAAAAAGACAGCAGGAACAAGCTAAACCTGCATGTACACCGCTTTTGTTGCTGTGTGCTCTTTTTGCTTGCTCTCCCCAGCCCTAGAGT